ACCATTAGCAGTATGTATAGGAGGTAAAGAGGTTACGAAAGACGAGGAAGACAAAAGCTGCGGGCTAGAGGTCATGTGATTGCAACAGCCAGAATCAAAATACCAATGTGATTTACCTCCGGTAGCAGACATAGAATAATTGGAAAGAAGAACCTATTTGAGAATAGCCTCTATGTCTTGAAGAGTGTAAGACGAATGCTGAGGCTCAGTAGTGACAGCCGCTGTAACAGAAGAAGTGGCGGTAGAGGAAGACCCATGATGTCGAGAGAATGATACTCTCGAACGGTGTGATCTGGCTGGACAATATGTAGCAATATGACCGTGAACATGGCATATGTGGCATACCACCGTAGGACAAAATGGAGCAATATGACCCTGAACATGGCAAATGTGGCAGACCACCATAGAAGAATCCATATCCAGAAAATAAAGAAGCACCAGCAACCAACAACAGTACGAAGACAAAAGAAAATCACGAACTGGATCATAAACCGGATAAAATAGCAGTAAATGGCCGAAATTAAAAACGGCACGAAAACCAAAAACGACCACACCAGGACGTAGCCGCCGATTAGAGGAGTCGACGGCTGAAAAATCACGGCGATCGGAGCTGGGGGTGAATCTCACGCTTCGGCTGAAGCTGCCAGCACTGTCTCACTGTTCCGGCGAGTGTGGGTCCCACGCGCCTCCGAACGGGCCCAAATTTTGACCGACGGCTCGCCGAAAGATGCCGGAGAGGATGGTCTGGGAGGTGAGAATATAAGACGGTCGGAGACGAGCGAAAAATACTAACTTTATATTGGACTATAAACCTAGTCTGATACCATGTAAGAAAGTGGGAAAAATATATGTTCTATATTATTCAAAAGACATGTACACATATATATATATAGGAACATAATGAGCCTAAATCTAATCCTACAATATATATACAAAATATATTATAACCATATATACAAAATATATTCTAACAATTGAAAGACATATGTCAATACATTATTGGTGAATAAGTATAGATTGTTCCGTAAGTCGAGCCATTCGATGATTCCATAGCAATACGGCAGCATCCTCAAATAGTTTGTTCATTACATTTACATCCATTTTTCTCTTGTTTCACTAATTGTAGGAAAAACATAACGGAAATCATGAAGTGGTGCACATACTTTATATATAGCAATTGACCATACAAAATATAATGACGTACACACATGTTTTTTTTTAAAAAAAAATTTAAATTTGTATACTGATTAAACAACTTTGATTTAGCAAATGCTAAAAACACAACCCCTTCTATAATCAAGAATTTTCTAATGTGCATTATACAAATTTTTAGTATATTTAGCATATTGCGCAATGAAAATATATTTTGCAAGAATCTAATTATAGAGAATAGTCAAAATAAAAAAAATAATAAAAAAATAATTATGTTTGCCAATAATATGCAAATAAATTCAAGAACAGTTAATATATTTCAATTTTAATTTTTGACATTAGTAAACTTATTCAATGTATCTGACCATTATATATTAAATGGTAAATTATATTAATTTGAATAATAATTTATTCTTTATATATAACGAAATAAAGGTTAAGAAAAATATATATTGGCAAAGATTAATTCAACAACTTGGTTTCGCCTAATTAAGTAGAAGAAAAATTCTACCTAATTTATTACTATTTTCAATAAATATTTTTAGATCAAAAGTGAATATTTGCAAAAAAAAATTTAATAATATGGTTAGAACTTAAAATATGTTTTAATATTTATCCTGGCCAAAATATATCATGAATAACGAAAAATCAATTTTGTAATTTATTATAATGGATATCAATAAAATTATTGCAGATATTAATAAAATTATTTAAGGAAATAATATTTTTTATCATATATGGTTTAATCTTATTCGAAAATATGTATATGGAAGAAATTAATGCATATATTTAAAAAGTTTTCAAAAAAATATGCATTAAATGCTCTCAAAAATTTTTGACTACTATTTTTAGTAAATGATTATTCTTATTATATATATATATATGGAAGTTACTTATTAAGAATTCTACTGCATTTTTGTTTCTTCAAACTTTTTATATTAATATTATTATAACTATTTTTCATATTTTTAAGCAATATATCAATAATGTTAGCTAATTATTTTTAATGGCTTAATAAAACCCCTTAAAATTACATAAACAGTGCCTATAATAATATTAATAATAATTTTCAGCCTATTAATTGGTCACAGTCTTTCAAAATTATAAATATTATATTTGTATTCCGTATCCTTTCGCTTCACTATTCGTACGACCCCAGCAGGCCCGTCTTATAAGGGGGGCAGCTGGTGCGACGCCCAAGGGCCCATGAGGTTGGAGGGGCCCATGAATATACTGTATATATATATGTATAGTATATATATATATGTATAGTAGATGTATTGACCAATATATATATATATATATATATATATATATATATATGTATAGTAGATGTATTGGTCAATTCAAGTAATAATTAATTTAACATCTAAGCCCAATAATCAGAGCGGAGGCAGTAACATGTGTACCTGGGCTATAGCCCGGATGCCCCTCAAGCCTCAACCATCATTTAATAGGAGAATAGTATTAATATTCTTGCTTTTTAGAAAAACAAAATTTAGCCCGATGGCATATGAGAAACCAACATGTCTTACTATATTTCTCTTGTCCTGTTTCTATTAAATGGTTATGTGCTTGATAAAAATTGAGTCTCCTTATAATAAATTTATGTTTGTTTTCCCTTTGTTTATATTTTGCACTAGTTCACCTTTTATATGTAATTTTATACAATAATTAATATTCTAATTATATATTTCTTGTAGTTAAAAAGTTCTTTTGTTTATTAGTTATATACTAAATTTTGCTTATTTTGTTCATTTTTCAATTTATATACTTCACATTAAATATAATTAATGTCTATTAAGTAATTTATTTTTTATTATTTTGGACTAATTTAGTGTTTAGTTGGCCACACTTAAAGTTTAGGGAGATGTTACGGTCCTGTTACGGAACCATTTCGTCGGTGTTTGTAACCGTTAGATCAACTATCCCCGACGGTTACATGATAATCTAACTGTTACAAACCCCGACGGAATGGTTACGTAACGGGGCCGTAACATTTTCCTAAAGTTTATTAAGTAATTTAATTTTTATTTGGTGTTTGCTCTTAAAATTTATTTATGAGGCATGTGGGTTTTGATAAAAAAATTTTAGTCCGGGTAGATATTGAATCCTGGCTCCGACCCTGCCAATAACATGAACAGAATCAATTGATAGACGCGTGTCCTTCAGGTCCGGGTAACAAATCTCCCCTCGCCCCGGCTCGCTCGTCCGACCCGGCTTGCCTTTTTTTTTATTTTAAGAAAAATATTTATATATAAGTTAAATATTGGTCTCATTTCTCTATCTCAAACTTCATCCTCGTCTCGCCTCGGACATCTCCGGCGCCATGCCTGAGACTGTGAGCCGCCTCTGACACTGCCTTCGGGACACCGCCTCCACCGGGGCCCTTAGCGTCTTGCTTGCCCAAGGGCCCTCGAAATTGTTGAGACGGCCTTGGACCCCAACATCGAGAGCTAGCAGATGCTCCCATGACAACAATTTTTGTTATAAATAATTAAATATAGTGATTCATATGTAAGATATAATTTTATATTTATGTTGTTCATTTTAAGTTACGACGAATTTTAAACTGCAATATACACATTATCTAACTTATAACTATAATAGTATTACATACATATATACAATAAATAATATTTTTTCAATATTAATTTTCTATAAAATGGGCTCCAAGCCTAGTGCTAATTTGCCTATCATCATTGGATTTTGCTATTCTGTCACCCTCTATTACAACATGGTTTACAATCATGTGTAATAAAGACATTAAAAAATATAATAATGCACATTTTTCAATGTCTCCATTACACATGGTTGTAAACTATGTTGTAATAGAGGGCGGCAAAGTAGCATCACCCATCATCATTTTATAAAGTTGTCAACTTGGGTGACAACTTGGATTACAACCCAAGTGTAAATGTATTATTAAGAATTATTAAATAATGCATTTAGAATGGTGTTGTACCAAATTGTAATTCAAGTTGGTTTTGTAGCATTATTCTTCCATACCGAAAATTTGTAGCCAAACGCACAACCTTGCCAGCTGGCAGCTGCCACACCAGATATTCAAAAGTAACCCAAATGGCGTACCGTCAAAACACACCGAGTCACAGACACCTCATATATTTGATTATTTTCTCTCTCTCTCTCTCAAAATAAAAGAAAATAAAAAATAATAATAATAGTAGTAAATGAAACAATCACAATTTCCACGATTCTTTATTTCTTCATTTCTCGTTTTCAACCCGCATAGAAATTCTCTCATATAAAAAGGCCATTAGCAGCAATTCAGTACAAAATATCTCACATTCAAAGCGAAGCAGTTACCGAGCCAGCGCCGGAGCAAGATAAGTACGGAATATAGTTATTCTTCCCCATCCTGCATTTGATTTTTATAAATGTTTTTTGTTCTCCCTTAATTCAATCTTTTCTATGGCGTTTGAATCATCAGATCTCACGTCCACAAATCCGTGTTTTTTTTTCCTGTTTTGATATTTGTGTTGAGGACGAATTTCATCGATAGACAAATGTTGCATCGGAAAATTTGAATTGGAAAATTTGAATCGGCATCGATCCTCTGGAGCTGATTTTTGTTTGATATTTGTTGCTGATTAGGTGCGTTATGGGAAGCTTGCGAGCGATTTGGAAGCATCCTGATGACTTGTATCCGATGGTGAAGCTGAAACTGGCGGCGAGGTGCGCGGTGAAGCAGATCCCGGCGGAGCCTCACTGGGGATTTTGTTATTCGATGCTTCATAAAGTTTCTAGAAGTTTCGGCCTCGTTATCCAGCAGCTTGATACTGATCTTCGTGATGCCGTGAGTTTTTGTTTTATCGATTTTCAATTAATTCGTGCATTATCTGAAACAGCGATGGTTATTGTAGGCTTCATGCTCTGAATGAATTTTCTAGATTATAACGAGTGCAATTTATGGTTGAATAATTGAATTGCTGTGACATGCAACGAAATTGATATAGTTTTTGGTATCTATCTATTGTTCTGAGCCTTAGGTCGAGACCGGATTTGAAAGCACTTCTTCTCACGGTAGAAATTGTTTATTTAACTTGCATGCGAGTCTAAGCCAACAGTGCTGACTTAGTGCAGAATAGACTGGTCTGCGTTGGTGTTGTTTCTCCGAATTGAAAGACTGTTACTAAGCACAGAATGCACTTGCTTCTTCCTCTTTCAGCTAAATGAGAATTTTTGTTGTCAGTTTTCTAGTAAGGAGTAGTATTGTGTATCTAATGCACTTTGCACATATTGTGTGGAAAAGGTGCTTGAAACAAATCCAAGAAAATGAAAACGATATTATAACACTAATATTGATATTCATAACCTCAAATCAATCATTTGTTATACACGAGATGATGTTTGGATTATTGACTTTTAGGCAAGCTAGTAATGATACTATGCACTGCAAATATTTTGATCCTTAACTTCTCAATAAACGTGTTATGATAGTATATGTCTATGGTCAATAAATTTATGTCATGTGTGAGTTGCATTTTTCATGTTAGTTTTGCATCCTTATATATTCAGCCCAAAGAATGATTCAGCTAATTTTCCCAACTTCCCAGGTTTGCATTTTCTATTTGGTTCTTCGAGCACTTGATACTGTTGGTAAGCTCTGCAAATCATAATAGGTTTTGTTAATCATCATCATTATAGGCAACAATCTCATTTGTTGATTATTTTGACAGAGGATGATACAAGCATCGCGCCAGATGTGAAAGTACCCATTCTGATGTCTTTCCATAATCACATATATGACCGTGAATGGCATTTTTCATGTGAGTTTTTCAACTTCTGCCATTTACTCTATATGATATATTCTTTGAATACTCGTAAGTCGTAAAGTTGAAGGGGCATGTTGGTAGGTTTTTCACATTTTAGTTCACAGCAAGATTCTTCCCCATAAACTTTTACTTCTAGGTAAAGATAACCTCCAAATTATTAGCCATCTTCTTGTCCCTCATATTTGAGAGGTGAAAAAGATAAATGTCCCTGAAATGTTATCATGAGACGGATATTCTTCTCAACTTATTGTGTGCTATACTCGGAAATTGGGGTGGTTACTTTTCCAATGTATACGAATATCCTTTACTTCATTTATTATTAAAATTATTGCTGTTGCTGTTTGATTTAACATAAGTATAATATAGGTACATTTATGTGTTCTTTTACATTTTTGCTTGACAGGTGGTACAAAGGACTACAAAGTTCTAATGGATGAGTTTCATCATGTTTCCACTGCTTTCCTGGAACTCGGACGCGGGTATTATTTGTAGACTAATTATTCATGTTGTGATCTTTCTAATGTTTAAACAAAAACCATCAATGTCTGTTATATGAAAGAAACTTGGTAGTGGGTGTTTGATGAATAGAGCTAGGATTAGATAGTGTATTAGATTAAGCAAACAGCTTCCGTTAACATCAGCCTGAGCATCAGCCAGAAGTTTTCTTTTCACTTAATTGAAAATCCTAGCAAATTCACTGATACAGAAACATCAAGAGGAGGAATTGGATTTGCTTTATCTAAAGATGTCGGTATTATTCAATTGAATCTAACGGATAAGATTCATGTCCTGGCTTAAATATGGATACACATTGTTCAGTTGGGTGCATTCTCAGTTTATTTTACAGCTACCAACAATATTTTACAGTTTCAGAAATCATGTAAATGACTAGGTCGTGATGCAAGAATGTAGTTCAAGACAAGGAGTTGCTAGAAAGAAACTACTTGAAGAACCAGATTTTTCCTTGTGTGTGCAAGTGTGGCTTGAAATTGGATGCTTGGCATATTGTTGCTCAACTCTAAATTTGATTTCAGTAGACAAAAGGTTCCCAGTCCAAAGGGAGGCATAAGTAGATGTCCATAATCCATATTACATTAACACCATACTGCCTAATTTGTAAAGAATTGCTCTTCTTAATACTGTGGAATATGGTATTAAAGTTTGGTAGAATATGCCAAAGAAATGTAGTGCATTTCTACCCTCCTAATTTTTTAAGAACTTGGCTGAAAATTGTGTTCATGATCCTGTGGAATATGGTAATTGGAGTTCGGTATATAACTAGTTCAATATATATATTTCTTGACAGACTGACTTCTGAACATGTGGTGTAATATTCCTTTTGCAGTTATCAGGAGGCAATTGAGGATATTACCATGAGAATGGGTGCTGGAATGGCAAAATTTATCTGCAAGGAGGTATACCGGACATATCATACCTGAGAAGCAGTTTCCAAATGCTGTTATAGACACTGTGATTATGTGTTTAATTTTCACTAAGATCAACTTTTAATATCATACCATCATCTATTTGCTTCAATATTTGAAAATATTTTCTCAAGACAAATCTGATAAAGCAACCATCTAATGTTTTTGCTGCTAACGATGTTAATAATTAACAATGTGACATCATTTGATCTTAACTAATGATATCTACGTAAGAGTTCTCAGTCATATCATAGTCTTATACTCAAAATGCACTTACTATCATATTCTCTTTCCAGGTAGAAACAATTGATGATTACGATGAATACTGTCACTATGTAGCTGGACTCGTGGGATTAGGGTTGTCAAAGCTATTCCACGCTTCTGGGAAGGAAGATCTTGCATCAGATGCCCTCTCCAATTCCATGGGTTTGTTCCTTCAGGTACTAATTCCATATGTGCCATTAAGTTTTGGCCTTAGATATTAATGCCAGTGAAACAATTACAATTGCTTGTATTCTTACAAATAATGCAGAAAACAAACATTATCAGAGATTATCTGGAGGATATTAATGAGATACCAAAGTCACGTATGTTCTGGCCTCGTGAAATTTGGAGTAAATATGTCAACAAGCTTGAGGTAAATCTCTTTTCCCATTTGATTCAATACATCATGTCAGTAGTCAAATTACGCAAGAAATATGATTTTTTTCACTAAATGGAATCATTATCATATATTTTGCGTTATGTTCTCAGGACTTGAAATATGAGGAAAACTCAGTTAAGGCCGTGCAATGCCTGAACGACATGGTCACAAATGCTTTGGTGCATGTAGAAGACTGCCTGAAATACATGTCTGCTTTGAGAGACCCAGCTATCTTTCGCTTTTGTGCGATTCCCCAGGTAGATCCGCATCTGCATTTCTTAAGCATATTTTAGCCTTTCCGAGCACGTTCATTATCATCATTGTTAATATCTTTATAATTAGTTTTACTAAGCCTTCTGCATGCATATCTAGTTACTTCAACATGGAGGTTGCAGGAGTTAAAATGATTTTGAAGTTTCTCCTTCTGTAGTTCTGTATCTCTGTCTAGTTCTCTAGTGATTTTTCCACTCAATTTTCTCACTTTTGACCCACCATCTTGTGGCGCTGACATTTTATTTTTTATTTTTTATTTTTAAAAAAGAACACTAGCCATAGAGCAATTTATTAGAAATAGTTAGTAAAAATTGTCGGTTTCATTTGACCCATTTGGTAATCTCAAGCGAATCATCTATTAATACTTCACGTCTCTTTTTTAGTGGATAATACAACATAATTTGCTTTCTGGATTTAGCATGATGCATTCACTGCATGCAAAATGTATGTTAATACCATCAAAGTGGTTCTGTTTTTGCTTCTTTTATGTTACCAGATAATGGCAATTGGCACGTTAGCTTTGTGCTACAACAATATTGAAGTTTTCAGAGGTGTTGTGAAAATGAGACGAGGTAAGATTAACACTTTTGGTGTGCTCCTCGTGTTATACGAATTTAACCGTTTATTATCATGGATAGTCTTTATTTTTTTTTATTTTTTTTTAATTCTTTATTATAAGGTAACATCTTATTGATTTTATTTGTTGCCGTTACTACCAATAAGGAAATACTACTACTACTATTTATTATCTTAATTTATAATTTTTTTCTTTTTTGGGGATTTGGGCAAGTATGCAGTGATGGGTTCATCTGCACATGAGCATTAAGGGTATACTCCCTCCTATTCGAAGTCGTCTTAAGCATTCAAAATTCTTTCAATAAACATCATTTTGGAAGTTCAGATACAAATGTGAACCTGTGTTTTTAGAAAAAGAAAAAAAAATGTTCTCCATTTATTACCTCTGTTTTGTTAGATCGCAGTCTTCCTACTTAAGTGTTTAGAGTAACTTACAGATGTTTGGACATAAAAGAGCTCCTACACCACTAATGCGACCGATTATCCCAAATTAATTCTGTTAACTTATCAATGATGGTTGAACTGAAGTACGATACATTACATAGTTAGCTTTCTCCTGCACACATTATAATTCCACCAGGCCCTTCCCTTTTGTGGACAAGTGATGCTGGGCTATATATTGCCTGTGTTTTGTTTCATTTTTGTGTTCATTTGTTGTTAAATCTATAGAAGATCCTAATTTGTTTCCATTTTTTTTTTTTCCCTTCCAAGGTCTTACTGCAAAAGTTATTGACAGAACTAAAACTATGGGTGATGTCTATGGAGCTTTCTATGACTTCTCCCGTATGCTGAAATCTAAGGTATGATTCTTTACTAGGCTTAAAAAGCTTGAGCTGGTAAAAGTAATGCTCATAAACAATGTTAACGCAGCTTGTCGACCATTTTTTGGTCAAACCATGCATTCTAACAAATTGAGGTGTGTTTGTTTATAAATTTATCCAATTCATACTCAAAATCTGACTCTACTTTAACCCAAGTCCACTATCTTCAATTTTAATTCACTATTCATCCACTCCCATAATTTTAACTAACCATCACTTCGCATCATCTCTCTACTACTTTTACATCAAATCAACTTTAATTATTTTGTTTTAATATTATTTTAATATAACCTCAAAATCCCACTTACAACTACCATACCAACTTTTTCAAAATTAACTCTGGTTAACCAAAAAAAGTTGAGCGGATATATTCGTATACAAGCACGTGAGTCTTTTCAAACTATTTGCAAAACACTGTCCACAGAAGATTTCTTAGGGAGTGATTTTAACTCAGTGCAACATTTTTTTTATCTTCTATTTATAATTTGCTAAAATGATTGTGTTATGTTTATATATATGGGCCACCGTTTCCAGCTGTATGTCCTATGTACTAAAAATTAGCTTGTCCCAGTGCTGTAGTTGAGTGCCTCTAGACAGCATTTAAATTGAAGGATTTGTTAGAAACCTGTTTGTTTAATGTGAATATTGTAGGTTGATGACAAAGATCCTAATGCTAGAAAGACCAAAGACAGCTTAGAAGTGATCTTGAGAATTTGCAGGGATTCTGGAAAGTTAAACCAAAGGTAGTTTTAATGTTTTTCGAAATCTGTCATCACGGAATAGCTTGTTTCAGACGTTGATATTTTTCTCTTTTTCTGCCAGGAAATCTTACATTATCCAGAGCAAACCCCAATATGATCCAGCTTTGGTTAGTTTTTTTTTTTTTTTTTTTCTTTCTTTTTGTGCCTCCCTTTTTTTATTTGAAGTAGTTTGTCAAGTGAAATGATCTTTAAATTACATTATATATCCTTGCAGATTGCGGTCCTGGTCATCATAGTAGCCATTCTTCTGGCATATTTATCCGCAAGTCGACCGTCTAATATTTGTAAGTTTTCTGTTGCCAACTGTCATTTATTGCTGTGGAAATACCTTCCCAAAAAAAAAAGAAGACTTCATGTTAAGTTGCACAATTTGTTATGCGCACATTCTACATATAAATATATATATATTCTACTGGGTAATATCTATTCTACCAGGTAACCTATTTACATCAATCTATGAAATGCAGTTATTATCACAAGTATAAGATCAAAATTGACATTTTAGATGGGGGGTGGCAATAGTTGGCATAGCACAACACGAAACATGAACACGACACGATATATTAGAAAATATGACTGCATAGTTAAATTTGAATTTATTACCGTAATTAATTAATTATGATAAAATAATATAGACAACATAAAAAACTGAGAGCTGGATATAAACACAACATGATAATTAGATCATGACACCTCTAATTTTAGTGTAGTTTGGCACTGACCCTTCACTATCATAGCGTTGGAAAGGAAACAGTAAAATAAAAATAACCGTCTTATTTATTGTAAAAACTTACGCTTCAAATATATACCTGGCAAGAATGTTGTACTCGTGAGATGGAACTTATTTATACCAAAACAAACTTAATAGACACACGATTGTAGGTAAAGTTTCATCTTCTCACCTCATATCATAAGAAAATACAAAATAAGAATGTAGAATGGCGTGCTTGTTTACAAATTAATCCGCTCAATACGAGTTTTTTTTTTTTTTTT